CATAGTATAGCATAGCGTAGCGCAGCATAGCATATCATAGCGCAGCATAGCATGGCATAGCATAGCATAGCATAGCAACTCATGCTGCTTTCCTAGGGGCTCCAACTTCTAGGTAGGGTCGCACTGGGGTAATTGTTTGACTATGTGTGACTGTTCCTCCTGTAGAGGGGCAGGCCCGACTTAACCCCAACCCAACCCGAGGACCCCAATTTCGGGTTGGGGGGGTGCGGGTTCCATCTGTGTTGTGTCATTGTTCCCGACCCCCTCCCACCGAAAATGGAGGGCAGATTGAGGCCTTCAGGTTGGGTTGGGGTGGTCTGGTGGGCGGTGAGCAATGCAGTCGCGGCGTTGCCCCACGGAACCTTAAATAAGGAACGAGGCCCGTGTCTTCCACAAGTTGAAGTTCGATCTCACATCGAAAACCTGCGGAAAGCCTGGGGCGCTCTATGAAACAGTCAGGGAGCACGGAGCCGCTCCACAACGAAAGGGTTCCTTCTTCAGCGCTCCGACTGAAAGCCTGCTCCGAGGACGAGAACGGCCTCTCAGGAGGAAGGAGGGTTTCTGACGGGAACCCCGCCGCTTTCTCGGAAGGACCAGCCCCTCCGACTTCGCCCCCTCGGGGCGCCACCGAGGTGCCGTGCGAAGTCTGCGCGCGCTGGTGAGATCTTTCTGGGAGGCATCCTGCGGCTCTGACTAGAGGGCAAACATCCACCCCCATAATGATCGCGAGGCTGTTTAGCAAACGCGCCCAAAGAAGGAATCGAACAGGGCAGGGCTGTTTAGTAAACGCCCAGGGCCGTCTAGTAAACGCCAATTATCGGGTCCAGGCTGTTTTTCCTCCCTTGACTGGTGAGATCTTCCTGGGAGGCATCCGGCGGCTCCGATGTACACCCTGTCCTGCTGCTGCGATTCCTGACCCGTCGTCGGGCCCGCGGGGTTGCCTGCCGACCTTCTCCCTCCTGGGGGAGCTCGAGCAAGACTGGCTTCGAGCGGGGTGCCGCTCCCGTCTTGTGCTTGCCTGTGAGTGATGACGCGCGGCCGCCCTCTTCTTAGCCCTTCTTGCTTGCACGCCGGACAATTTGCCGATCGCTTGCCCCGAGAAGCCCCGCGCTGGTGCGAAATGCCTCTGCCTCGCCGCCGACGAAAAAGTTTGAGTGATGACGCGGTCGCCTGCCGTGGTCTGCCGCATGCGCACTGCAGTCCCGGCGTGGCTTGCGGCCTCTGAGGTGCACCAGGAGGGGATGGAGGGGCAGCCTCTCCGTGTCCCTTTTACATTGATCGCACCTGGCTCAGCAGGACGCCGTGTCCCTCCTCCTCCTCCTCCTCCTCCTCCTCCTCCTCCTCCTCCTCCTCCTCTTCTTTCCTCCTCCTTTTCTGCCTATCCCTCCCTTCCCTCTTTGCCTTCTCCGCCCCTTTCCTCCTCCTCCTCCACCTTTCTTCCCTCGTCCTCGTTCACCTCCTCCTCGTCCTCCTGGTTCCTCGTCCTCGTCCTCGTCCTCGTCCTCGTCCTCGTTCTCCTCCTCGTCCTCGTCCTCGTTCCCCTCCTCGCCCTCGTCCTCGTTTCCTCCTCCTCTCCTCCTCGTCCTCGTTCTCCTCCTCGTCCTCCTCCTCCTCGTTCTCCTCCTCGCTCTCCTCCTCCTCCTCCTGGTCCCAGGGCCCCCTGGGAACTTCTGGACGATTGTGCCCTCTGTGGGCTTCAGGGGCCTCCAAGGAGGCGTCCGGGGGCCTCCTCCCTCCCCTCGCCCGCGGCTTCCCCTGACGCGCCAGGGCGCCACCCTCCCGCAACGCAGTCCACACGCCAGCAGCCGCTCCCCTCCCTCCCCTCCCCTCCCCTCCCCTGCCCTCCCCTGCCCTGCCCTGCCGCCCTCCATCCTCCACTTTGCCTCTTCCTCTTCCTCCTCCTCCTCCTCCTCCTCCTCCTCCTCCTCCACCTCATCCTCCTCCTCCTCCTCCACCCCATCCTTCTCTGCCTCCTCCTCCGCCTCCTCTAACTCCGCCGGCTCCACCTCCTTGGTTCTCCTCCTCATGGCTGAAGATCTGAGCGTCTGCCACAGAAATTCCGTGGTTTATGGCGGAGAGGGCCCCCAAAACACACACACACACATACACACACAGCGAGGTGCCGTGCAACACGAAGAGAGCTCGCAAGCGACACATGCGCTTACACATTAGCTTTCTCTCCCCGCGCGTCTCAGACCGCTGCTGCTGCATCATCATGCCTGGCGAGACCGCTTTGGAGTAATATCTAATATGAAACGATGACAAACATTATATGACAACGCGTGTGTGCAACAATCTGCTAAACTACGCGCCTGTAACAACTGGCAAGAACCGAAACAGAAACAGATACCGTATCTGCCACATACGAACAATGCGCCGTCAACTTGAAACCTGGAATCCTCCCAAATGCAAGCTTCCACGTACCGTGAAACACGCCAACCCGACACCTCACCAAACGAGACAGACGAACTTTGAGCACGAACACGACATAGTGTGAGAGAAAGCAAAAGTGTACGACGAGACGAGGAGTGGATGTGTCGCGAGAGACGGCACAAACAATGGCAGAGTAGCCACAAAGGAGATGGATGGCGAAAACCATTGGAAAGCGTGCGAAGACGTGTCCTGCATCCAGCCATTTCGACAATGGAGTGGCGTCGGAAAAGCCGACTGACTAGAGCTCGAGCTCCAGAGTGCACAACCTCCCTTACCACGCGCAATTTTCACACGCCTCCTCGAGACGCCTACATTCGCATGACGGCAATACCCGCTCCTGAACACACCACGCTGCTCTCGTCTCTCTTTCTCGCACTACATCACTCGCAGGACCCAATGATGAACAGATTGCTGTAAGAGAGTGCTCATGCGTCGACGAGGTCAAACGCGTTACTGTATCCGGAATACAAAACATCAGGGCTGCACAATACCGAGGTAGTGGCTCTGGCCAGGAGGAAACAACCAGGACAACCACACAGCGTTGCGTGATAAGTCTCGAACTGGGCAGCCACAGCGGCATACTAATCAGCAATCGACCATATTCGGACAACAAACACAAACCACACGTCACACGCCAATGGAGAAGCGCAAGCCGTGTTACCAGCATCGAACCCACGTATGATCAGATGGTTTTCAGGGACTGGGCATGATTCGGCCTGGGCTGTGCTAGATTAGAACTTGGCTGCACGCAGACTGAACTGACTTGTGATGGACTGGGCAGGACTGGACTGGCCTGGACTTACATGAATGGGCCAGGGCTGGCTTCCGCTGTGCACATCTGGAATGGACTGGGTTGGACCGTACCAGCACGGGCTGGACCAGGCTGGATGGGCTTCGGCCTGGGCTGGAGATGCTCACTGGAGGAACTGTGCGGGAGCGCCCGCGGCCGAAGCCAGAGCGCGGTGGGACCAGCCAAACAGACAGACACCCAGCTCGGGCGCGGGCTCGGGCTCAGGCCCGGGCTCGGACCGGCGCGGGCTGAGGACGAAGAAAAATGGGGGGGAGGGGGAGGAGGAGGAGGAGGAGGAGGAGGAGGAGGAGGAGGAGGAGGAGGAGGAGGAGGAGGAGGAGGAGGAGAGGAGGAGGAGGAGGAGGAGGAGGAGGAGGAGGAGGAGAGGAGGAGGAGGAGAAGGAGGAGAGGAGGAGGAGGAGGAGGAGGAGGAGGAGGAGGGGCGCGGGCTCAAGCTTGGGCGCGGGGACCCGCGGAGGAAAGGCCTGCCCACGGCAGGTGGCCCCAGCGGGGACAGCTCTTCCCCGCCGACCCCAGCCGCGGAGACATCCGTGGTGGCCCCAGCGGGAAGCGGCGTGCAGCGACGGGGCTGCGGGCCAGAAAGCGGCCAGCGCCCGCCTCGAGCCTCGCGGCCGCGGGGCACGCCGGGGTGACTCGATCGAGCTGTCGGGCCGAGATGGGGGCTGCTTCGCATCGACAGGACGAGGAGGGGGAGGGGGAGGAGGAAGAGGAGGAACAGGAGGAGGAGGAGGAGGAGGAGGAGGACGAGGAAAACGAGCGAGAGGAGGAGGAGGAGGAGGAGGAGGAGGAGGAGGAGGAGGAGGAGGACGAGCAGAACGAGGAGGGGCAAAACGAGGAGGAGGAGGGGGAAGGCGAGGGGGAGGCGGAGAAGGCGGGGGCGGGCGGCGAAGCAGGAGGGGGAGGGGGAGTCGGAGGACGAGGGCGAGGAGAACGAACCCGCGGCCAAGGCACACAGCAACGCCGCGGGGCGGGCACAACTACAGCGCCATTTCATTCGCGACGTGGCAACGACAGACCGGCGAACAACATACAATACCACTCTGCGCGCCACGCGGCGGCAACGCAAAACGAACAGCACTGCGCTATCGCATTCGGGCAACGCCGCGGAGGCGAACACAAAAATGTACTGGGTACGTGGCTCAACCCCGGACAAGGACGATGACGACGACGATGACGGCGACGACGTCGACCAGGACGACGACAACGATGACGACGACGACGATTATGACAACGACGACGACGACGATTATGACATCGACGACGACGACAATGACGAAGACAATGATGACAACATTGACGACCACGACAACGACGACGACGCCCACCCTCCCGCCCGCCCGGACGCCTGCGCGCGCGGGCGCCCGTCGACGGAGGCGACGAAAGCGACCTTCAACAACGACGAGCAGACGGACGACGAAGACGACAACGACTACGAGCACACCCGGACGGACGACCGCGACGACGACGACAACGAAGTCTACGAACGCGACGACCACGACGTGGACGAGGACGACGACGACTATGACAATGACGACAACGACGACGACGAAACAACAATACTACGAGAACAGCAGCACCGTCCCGCAGTTCCACAAAAGCAAAAAGCCTAAAACGCAGAGAAAGAAAAGGGGGGGTAGCTTGAGCAGCCCCTCCCACCCGCACCAGTAAGACCCGGCGTACCCTCAGCCACGAGAAAGGGGAGGGATAGCTTAAGCCCCCCAGAGCCCCAGCAACTCCCAGCTTCGGACAGGGGGCTGGGGAGGGGGGTAGCTTCGGAAGCTCCCCCCCCTCAAGAAAGCTAAGCCCGGGCTTACCTTCGAAACCCACGACAGCATGGGGGGGTCACGTCCGAACCCCCCCCCCCTGCAGAGGGCAGCCCAGGCTCACCCTGGCAACAACACGGGGACGGGGTGGGGGCTTCCGAAGCCCCCCCTCAGTTTCGCTGTTTGCTGAAGTCGGGGATAGCATCCTTGCACGCCCCAAATGTATTGCACCCCAAAAAATCTGTTGCACCACCCCCTTGTCGCTGGACCCCCTTTTGGGTCAACCCGAAGCAAGGCTGTGAACGACCTGGTCTGCAGTCCAGTCCGTCCAACTCCCGCCGCGCTTCCTCCGTCGGAGAACGCGCCCGCCGCACGGCCTTCGTGGCTGAAGCTCGACAGGCGACGCCAAGCTTCGGTGGAGACGAGAGCGCGACACTCTGTGCTGAAGGGAAACGCGAAGGAGAACGAGAAGTGAGAAAGGGTCAAGTCGAAGTCTGCGGACAGTATCCCGTCCCGTCCGTCGCGCCTCTCGTAGGTCTGGCACGTCGCGATCACGCGGGAACGGGCGGACTGCTGGGGTAGACGACGGTGTAGTGAGCGCGAGGGCCTCTGCATCCCGTTGGGCACGCATGCTGCCTTATCCTGCTCTTGCTGCTGCCCCTTCTCCTGCCCACCCACTTGTCGCACCAGCCCCGACACACCGCATGCAAAACCGCGCACTTCGTATCATCGATCACGCGTGTGCTCCCCCATCCCCAAAGCCCCCCTCTACCCATATTCCGTCCGTGCCTCGCCCCCCCTCCACCCCTTCCCTTCTCACCCGTGCTCCCGCCCTCATGCGTGCTCCTCCTCCCCCACAACCCTTCTAGCGCTCCCTTTCCTGTGAGCAGCCGCCACTGGTTCAACGTCACCTTTTGCACCCTAGAAGGACAAAACAACGGCATCAACGTACAGTCAAAACGCGTATTAAGGACGGGTGGTAAGGACGCAAGACCCTTGGCGGCCGAGGTTGGGATGTTTTGGGCGGGGGGCGACCAGTGAACACGGCAAAAGACGGGCCGCAAAGGAAAGGACACAAGGGCACCCTAGATGAAGGACCGCGTCCTTACTAGGTGCGTTGACTGTGTGACATGGGGAGAAGGGAGGATGGGGAGGTCCTCCTCCTCCTCCTCCTCCTTCTCCCTCCTCCTCCTCCTCCTCCTCCTCCTCCTCCTCCTCCTCCTCCTCCTCATCGACGACTCACAGCCCAAAGCCTACCTCCCTGTGTCTACTTACGACAAATGGCCCATCGAGGCCCAGTGCGCTAGACAGTTTAAGACAAGGCTCCAAGGAGCCCCGTACATACTATCCATATTATGTAAGCCCGCGTTCCCTGGCGTAGCAGGCTCCTATTTTTCTGTTGTGCGGCCTAGCCATGCTTAATGGTCTCCCCAAGGTTCCCTGGAGAGCCCCAAGCCCTAGAGGCTCGTTTAAAATGTTTCACACGCTTCCAAAGACGTATCTTCCGAAACCGTCTTGGCTCAAGCTTTTGTATACCAGCGAGAGGCTGCTAGACTACTGACTTGCGGTCTGAACCGCAACACAACGAACTGGACCGCTGACAAACAAGTTCCTGTGCCGTGTCATCGCGTTTCCAGCGACGCGCTCCCCACCGCCCGTTGTCACCGACATCTTCAAGGAAGAGAGTGAGCAGATAGCAGGACATCTTCGAGGAAGAGAAGTCAGGGATGCTATCAGGGCAGTGGTCTGAGCGGGACCATTGTATGGTAGCGGAGCTCTTGAGATCCACGGACACACAACATGACTAATAACGTCGATGACGTTATTCTCAAGTGGAACGGGGACCTCACCACGGTGGACGACGCTGAGAGAGACGTGAAGGCCTATCTTCGTGAGGCGCGCCGTGGCGAGCGCTATGTGTGCGGACAGAGGCTCTGGCGAAATAAGACACATCAGGTCGAAGCTCGGAGCTCAACCGATTCACGACGCTGGAGAGTACCTGGCGAGATGGATACTCGACCTGCGCAGGGACAACGGTGAGCCTATGCCGAGCTACATCAGCAGGGACGACGAGGCGTACCACGACGTGTTCAAGGGTTTCGACACTGAACATCTCAAGCGCCGGGGGATGGAGCGGCTGTCGGTCCGGGCGAAGGAGTGTGATTCTCTCTATCAAGAGCTGAACTGGTTTCTCAACGAGATAGTGTACGAGGGCCCAGACGACGCCGCAGATGAGGCCAGGAGACACGACAACTGGCTGTGGAACTTCACTTACACAGGCCTCGAGGAGATACCCGAACATCCTGACTTCGGCACGAACTTCCAGCAGGCGATCCCCTTGGATCAATTACGCGGCTGGCTGCTTCTACAGCGCTCGCGGCTAACGCCGACCGAGCGCGCAGCGGTCATTAGCGCCGTCAAGGGGAACTTCGACCATGAGAGTATCGGCGAGCAACTGCGCGCATCGTGGCCAGATGACGGGTTGACGAACCGCGACAGGAAAAGGAAGGATCACCAGGGCCGTCATCGAGACCGCGGACGCGTTCACGCTGTGAATGGGAACAAGACGAAAAATAACCAGACGCTGAAGATCATATCTACTACGAACAGTCCGAGACATCGGTCGGCACCGATAACGAGGACGGCGACAATCCGGAGGAACCGCTCTACAGCGCTAAGGAGATCGAGCAGGCAAAGCAGGCCTTCGCCGCTCAGCAGCACAATTTTGAAGAAACTCGAGATCTACTTCGACGTGCGAAGACAGCCCGGAAGTTCTACCCCGTGGATGAGGAAAAGAAGAAAGGCCACCGCGACAAACCTTCAAGGGGACGGCCATCTACTCCGAAGAGCCCGAGGCCAAACCGCAAGCCGCTCGACAAGGACAAGAGAACATCATCGAGAGACCCGAAAGCGAGGACAAGTCGCATGGGGCCTGTCCGAAGCGCGGCGGCAATCACGAGGCGAAGGATCACAAGCCGAGGGGCCAGTCTGCCGACCACGATCGTGGACCGAAGATGGGCTTCTCGGCTTCTCCTCGTTCGTGTTCTACAACAGCCAGCGCGACGCCGAGATGGAGGTGACGATGATCAAGCACGACAGGTCGCTGCGCGAGCTAGAGGACACGCTGAGCAAGCCAGAGGTTCCGAAGCGCCACGACGAGAAGCTTCCGATGCTGGCCGCGTTGGAAGAGACGAGCGACTGGGTGCTGATGAGCATGCTGAAGAGTGCCTACAGGGGCTTCGGCAACCTGGACATCGGCGCTACCTCCTCCATCATCGGGATCCAGGCTGCCGACAAGCTGCGCGACCTGATCTACGACGCGACGGGCAAGAACATCAGATGGACACCTCGCAGAAGACGACGTTCATCTTCGGCGACGGCAACTCCAAGACCTGCACTGGCAAGGCTACGTTCCCGCTGAACATCGCTTGTGTGGATGGCGATCTAGAGATTAACATCTTGGACGCCGAATCTCCTTTGCTGACCGGGGTGGGCGTGCTACGACGGCTCGGAGCCGTGATCGTCGGCGAGAAGAGCGGGACCTACTTCAAGAAGCTCGGTCGCCGAGCTAAGCTGCTCCCCCTTCCGAGCGGCCATTTTGCGCTGCCTCTCGTGGCCGAAGCTGATTTCGGCTCCGTGGCGACGCTCGGATAGGAGGTCGCGCCCTCAACACCGATCGCGGCGCCAGTGCTGGAGGGCAAAACAGACAAAGAGCAGCCACCAGAACGTGAAGCCACACGAGATCCCCTACATATGAGCCCAAAGGCCCGGGGAGCCCAAGATGATTCCCCAGAGGATCCCGAGACGAGTCCACATGAGACGGCTGCTACGGGTACACATTGGAGGCCTACATCACCATCGTTAACGGGATCATCGAACTCAGAAGCGGGTTTCGGAAAATCACAAACGGCGGCTCTCGGAATTTCGGATACGGAAACCTCTAGTACGTCAGAAACGGCATCTCCGAGACCGATTTCGGCTACTCCCGGGAATATGATTACGGAAACCACTAGCACTTTGTTTATATTAACATCTACTTCTAATCCCCAAGAGGCCGAGACACCTCCTCACGAGCTCCGAGAGATCCCAAGATTTCCTGGACTCCCTAGAGACTCAGATGCTCCTCCGTCCATCGCAATTTTGGCAAGAGCCGAAGCGTCGAGCCCAGAGCTCAGCGATTCTCATCAACTTCCATATCCGCACGAGCCTCAATCGCGAGGCGACATGCCGCAAAGTAGAAACCCAGGAGGTCAGGGCCAAGGACGAGGAGACGAACGAATGGGAAGCTCTACCTGTCGACCCATCCAGCATTCCAGTGGACAGCAAATCGCAGCGGACGCCCTCAGCAACCCAGGGGCCCGCGATTGCCTGCCAGACGGCTCCCAGGGAAGCTTGTTCGCCGCACTGGGGTGGGCGGGAGGAACTACCTGATGTTCGAGATCGAGGAGAACGTCACGAGGGACTCGGAGCTGTTCCTGGACGAACACTTGCCGCAGTGGGAGATGTGGGCGATGAAGCTACATCAAGCTTGGACCTGCACGACGAGATGGGGCAAGGTAATATGCTAGGTCTTCCTGAAGACCAACGAGAAGCATAACTGGAAGCTGGACGGAATGGGACTTCCTGCGCCGCCCTTCCCGACGAAGTTCCCGACCTGGAAGCCAGACGAGAAGCCCAGCGTCAAGCAGGAGCCAAGGAGACTAGGACAAATACCGCAGCCGTCTCCCAGCAGAACAAGGAGCTTCGCGAAAGCATCGAGATCGCAGATTCCGATTTCTTGACGAAGTACCAGGATGTGAATGCCTTTTGCGGGCACCGACACGGAGGAGAACTACAGGATGTTCAGCATGATGACGATCGCGAACCACCTCAAGCCGCTTTGCAAGCTCTACGAGCTGACCCAGAGTGGCAAAAAGGAAGAGATCCGCGACCGGCTGGTAGCCTACATCCTTCAGCAGCCGGGCGACGCCAAGCCGACGGTCAAGGTCAAGCAGGAGCAGGAGACGTCGATCAAAAGGCAAGAGACCAAGCCCTACATCCTGGGCGGCACCGTCAAAGGCCACTTCGCACAGGGCTGCATGGCTCCGGAGTGTCGCGCGCAGCGCGGGATCACCAAGAACGAGCCGATCATGAAGGTCAACCCCATAAGGCTGGTGCCACAAGATGTGCGCGGATGAGATCACGCAGAAAGAGTGGACGAAGTTCATGAGGAGCGGGTCCGTTGGAGCCGAGATGACAGCCGACTCCTCAAGGGGCACCAGCGCCAGCCAGCCATCGGGTCTGCGGCGCACAGTTTCAAGACCGCCCTGTTCGGAGCCCCGCGCGACGCCTGACCGCGGTCGAAGCCTGCGCACTTGAGGGCTCCAACCTCGGCCAGATCTGCGAGCAGAAGGGTTTGGAGATCGCGCGGCTCGGACTACATGGCGACTTCGACCTCAGCAAGCAGCGGGGCCACCGCGAGGCCAAGTACATGCTCGACGAGAACAGACAATAACTACCTGTCAGCACTCCACCCTGCGGACCGTGGTCGACCATCCAGAATGTCAACCAACGCACCGACCGGCAGAAGGAGAACCTTCGGAAGAAGCGACGGAAGCGCCAGCGGATCTTCGAGAACAGCATGCGTCTCATCGAGCACCAGGTCAGCAACCTCGAGGGCTCGGTCATCGCCGAGCAGCCGCATAAACAGCCGCTCCCGGCAGAAGACCAGATGGAAGGACGTACACAAGCTGCTGCCCTACGATGTCATCGCGGACGGCTGCGCCTGTGGACTACGAGTCCCCGATGCCGGAGAGCTCATGAAGAAACGCTGGATGCTCCTCACCAACAACAAGCGCATCCGGGTAGCCCCCCAGCCACTTCAGTGTCGCGGAGAACACTATCATGAGGAGATTGAAGGAAGCAACCGAACCGAAGCCTCAGGAATATATCCGAAATTGCTCTGCCGAAGAATCCTGGGGGCACTTGCGCGCAAGGCTAACTTGAGCTACGTCGAAGAGGAGATTGTGAACTGCCACTGCTTGGCAGCTACACAGCAGCCCCCCGCGGAGCAGACCCTGGGGTCGGCAGAGGAGCTGCTGCCGCGCAAGGACGGGAAGGCGAAGGAAGCGATCAAGAAGTTGGAGAGCTATGCGAGACTGGTCCACGCCAATCTGGGACACCTTCCACGCGCCAATCTCATTCGCTATCTCCGGGAAAGAGGTGCCCGACCTGAAGTGCTACGGGTCGCTCGCAACTTTAAGCGCGACATCTGCGACGCTCACCGACACCCCACGAAGCGGCCGCCAGCATCATCATCAGCAGAGTTACCGCAGAATAGTCACGAAGTTCTACTTGAGACGCCTTCTCTTGGTTTCGTCACAGCACGAACGCCAACACCATGGCGCTCGCGGTTCGGGGCGCGGGCCCCGACATTCTCTACGCGCGTTTGATCGACGAGAAGAAAATACCAGAACAACTACGCCAAGTGCGCGCTGGAGACCCACGACATAGTTTCGCCGCCAAGTGGCCCCCATGGATGGGGCGCCCTAAGGTCATGCGCTACGACCCAGCTGGCAGCGAGTTCAGGGAGTGGGTCGAGAGCCAAGGCATCTACTGCCGCCCGCGTGCTGCTGACGCGCTCTGGCAGATCGGGAAGATCGAGCGCGCCATCGAAGCCTTCAAGGAAGCCCTCGACGCCTTCGACGAGATGATCTCTCCCGACGTGTCTACCAGCGAGATGTTCGGCCTTCAGACGGCAGCCCTTGACGACCCCAAGGGGATCGACGGTTTCAGCCCACTTCAGCGCTACGCCGGAAGGACGCATGCGGGGGCGACTGTCCACCTCGACGACGAGCCGAATAACCTCCCGCTCATCAGCGCCGAGCTACAGGGCAGCACGTTCGCCAGAGATGCTCAGATGCGTCGACTACCCCGACTGGCCCACATCCAGACCGAGAACTCAGATAGAGTCAAGAGGGCAGAGGCGGCGAAGTTCAGGTCCTTCAAGAAGTACAACTGCGGCGACTTAGTCTTCGTGTGCCGAGGGCTCCCATCTGGAGCCTGGAGGAGGAGACGAAGACGCTGGCACGGACGTGGACGAATGCTTTGTCACGAACCCGCCAGCTCCGGACACCGACCTGGTCTACCTGGCGCAGTCGTGAACATTGCCCTGGCAGGACGGCTCTACCGAGTTTGCAGCCGAACAGCTACAACCAGCCACGCCCTCTGAAAAAAACTATGGACGCGCCCCGATCGCGGAACGAACAACCAGGCACCTGGACTTTCGGGGAGGTACAGAAGCAGCTCGACACCAAGGAGGCGATCGACCTCGCCGGCGAGCCGCCACCCACCAGCGACGACCTCGCCTACGACGACGGGGAATCTACAAGCGCTCTAACTTTCGAGATCAACCCAAGTGGACCCTGGGCCGTTGGTGAAGATGACGACAGGCCTCTCTCATCTCAAGGAGGACCTCAGGTTTACGCACGCGGGGGCGGTGAGGAGCAACGCCATCATCGGCTTCACGACTGGCACCATCACCACCAGCACCTGCGAGACGGTTGCGACGGAAGCAGAATCCGTGGACGCTGGAGGAGCTACAGGAGCCACTCATACAAGACGTACCACCAGAGCCACCACCTGGACTCGAATCACGTGCTGAAGGACCCCCTGCAGAAGAAGCTGAAGTTCCAGCCGAAGCCGAGGAGGAAGCTTGACAGATCGACCCGAAGGACGATGACATGGAGGATCAGGCCTCACAGAAGCCCTTCCCGGACGGCCCAGAAGCTGGAGAACTGGCGGTAGACCCTGAATCCGAAGAAGCTCGATCAGAACTACCTCAGAAGCGGACCGTGGACACCGACGAGATGGCAGAGCCCCCCGTCAAGAAATTCAGAATCAGCGCTGCAGTTCAGAAGGGCTTCTCTTACTATTTGAACGAGGATAACTTCTACAGCGAGCGCGCCTACAGCACCCAGCAGCACGACGAGACCACGAAGGAGGGCGAGCAGATCGCGTTGGAGATTCCAGTTAACAACGAGCACGCCCTCAGGAGCTCCTTCGAGGACCCGAGAAACTTCGTGGCTGAGGAGGAGGAGGAGGAGGAGGAGGGAGGAGGAGGAGGAGGAGGCGGAGGAGGAGGAGGGAGGAGAGGAGGAGAGGAGGAGGAGGAGGAGGAGGGGGAGGGAGGAGGAAGGAGGAGGAGGAGGAGGAGGAGAGAGGAGGGAGGAGGAGAGGAGGAGGAGGAGGAGAGGAGGAGGAGGAGGTGAACGCCGAGGAGAAGAAGATGCTACCTGAGGCCCCGCAGAGGGCGTGCGCCTCCGTTCTCGGCGCCAAGGCCGCGAGGATCCTCGGCCGCAAGGGCATGGATCCAGCGCGTCTTCTACGCTGCCGTTTCCTCCTCCTCCTCCTCCTCCTCCTCCCTCCTCCTCCTCCTCCTCCTCCTCCTCCTCCTCCTCCTCCTCCTCCTCCCCCTCCTCCCCCTCCTCCTCCTCCTCCTCCTCCTCCTCCTCCTCCTCCCCTCCTCCTCCTCCTCCTCCCCCTCCTCCCTGGAAGAAAGACGAACGAGGAAAAGCTACGCGAGGCAAAGCTCGACTCGTGGTGCTCGGTTTCGGCGATCCCGATCTGCTGCATCTGCGCACAGAATCACCAGCTGCCTCCCGACGTGCTCGCCGACTTCTGCTAGCTCTGGCCGCCCAGCACACGCGGCAACTGGAGAAGCGCGACGCGGCGACGCAGCGACAGCATTCCTTCAAAGATAAGCCGACGAGGGGAAGCGGAAGATCTACGCCAACCCGCCCAAGGATGTTCGCCAGGCCTTCGGCGTGAAGAAGGGCGAAGTGCTGCAATTCGTCAAGCCGATGCACGAGTTCTCACGCGCACCTCGGAGGTGGTGGCCACATGTCAAGGAGACTCCCAACAAGCTCAAGCTTGAGGCCATCCAGTGCGACCCCTGCGTCTGGGTCATCAAGGACGGCGACGGCAAGTCGATCGGCATGGTCATTCTACGCGTAGACGGCATGAAGTCGCCACAAACCACACTAACAAGTCCTTCCTGCAGGAGCGGACGGATATTCAACAAGCTTCCGAATGAACGCCCTGGGAGAGCAAGGCTTTCGTTCAACGTGGAGTCAGCATCCGCCAGAGAGATGATTTCACATGCAGCCTCGCTCAGGACACCTACAGGACCTACAGCATGAACGTGGAGCCGATTCCAATCAAGCGCGGCAGGAAGCCTACATACGGAGTTTCTTCTGATCGCGAACGCACTGATCTACGGGAACGGCTTGGTACCGTGGGCTGGAGAGCGCAGCAGTCAGCACCGTGGCTCAGCGCCGAAGTTTCACTACTACAAGCCGAAATTCCTATCGCGACGTTCTCCACGACTTAGAAGATCAACAAGCTAATCCGCACCACGAACGACACCGCTGACATCACCATGGTCATGCCTGCGATCGAGAAGCTGGCAGTTGCTGGCTGGGGCGACGCCGCATGGGCAGCCCGGATCACAGGATGATCCAAGGAGGTGAGATGATCGTGCTGGCACAGTTATCGTTTCTAGAAGGATCCACAGATACAGTGGCGCCGATTTCCTGGATAGCGTGCAAGTTGCCACGCGCTGCCAGAAGCAGCACGAGTGCCGAGGTTCAGATGAAGACGGAGACGCTCGACGAGATCAGCTACGTGCGACTGTCCATCTACGACCTAGAGTGCGGCCACGTGGACTACACCGACAAGCAGACCGTGAACGACGCCATCTGGTCACAGTCGGGAAGTCGGGGTACGACGCCATCGAGAAGAGCGAGTCTGCTGGACTGGGTCCTCGAGATAAAAGGACCAGTATCGAGTGCCTTGGCATCAGGCTACAGAAGCAGCAGACAGGGCTCCAGATTCGCTGGGCTCACAGCGATGCCATGTTAGCCGACGGTCTTACGAAGGACCGCGCTGCCAAGGCCCTACTGGAGTTCTTCAGAAGCGGACAGCGCTGGCGGCTAGTGGACGATCCTCTCCATCGGTCAGCACGGAGGCGCAAGTCCGAGGGCATCGACAAACCTAGATCACGGCACCCCGCTGGATCCCGACACCGCCCTGGAAACCCTGGTGTACTTCTCACGCGACGACGAGTCCCAGCAGGCTGGACCTGCCGGACATGAGGCCCTCTGGGTCCGGGTGAGTCCTACTACACGCTCTGTGCTTTCTGTGAATTCAGGAGGGAAGGCCAGGCTTCGATGCCGTAAAATCGAACTTAACTTCAGGGCATGCAATTCACAACCCAGAGCCTACCTCCCTGTGCCCACTTACGACAGATGGCCCATCGAGGCCCGGTGCGCTAGACAGTTTAAGACAAGGCCCCAAGGAGCCCAGTACATACTATCCATATTATGTAAGTCCGCGTTCCCTGGCGTAGCAGGCTCCTATTTTTCTGTTGTGCGGCCTAGCCATGCTTAATGGTCTCCCCAAGGTTCCCTGGAGAGCCCCAAATCCTAGAGGCTCGTTTAAAATATTTAACACGCTTCCAAAGACGTATCTTCCGAAACCGTCTTGGCTCAAGCTTTTGTATAGCAGCGAGAGGCTGCTAGACTACTGACTTGCGGTCTGAACCGCAGCACAACGAACTGGCCCGCTGACAAACAAGTTCCTGTGCCGTGTCATCGCGTGTTCAGCGACGCGCTCCCCACCGCCCATTGTCACCGACATCTTCAAGGAAGAGAGTGAGCAGATAGCAGGACGTCTTCGAGGAAGAGAAGTCAGGGAGGCTATCAGGGCAGTGGTCTGAGCGGGACCATTGTATCCTCCTCCTCCTCCTCCTCCTCCTCCTCCTCCTCCTCCTCTTCTCTCTCCTTCCTCCTCCTCCTCCTCCTCCTCCTCCTCCTCCTCCTTCCTCCTCTCCTCCTCCTCCTCCTCCTCCTCTGCTCCTGCTCCTGCTCCTCCTGCTGCTCCTCCTCCTCCTCTCGTGCGCCTCCTCCTCCTCCTCCTCCTCCTCCTCCTCCTCCTCCTCCTCCTCCTCCTCCTCCTCCTCCTCCTCCTCCTCCTCCTCCTCCTCCCCCCCCTCCTTCTCCGCCGCAGAGGCAAGGACACGAGGGCACCCTAGATGAAGGCGCGCGTGCTTACTGGGCGCGTTGGCTGTCATGTGTGTGGATCTCCACGTGGATTTCTGGCGCCGGCGCGGGACTTCCCTGCCTGGCGCGCCCCGCGCGCCAGGGGCGGCGCCAGGGGGCGCCGCCAGGTGGCGCCGCCAGGCGGGTCCAGCGCCGACCCGAGAGATCCTGCTGCTCTGAGCAGATACACCGAGCAGCTGCCCGAAGGCAACATTTGGGAGGCTTCGGGCGGCTGGTGGCCTGTGGACCGACTTTCGCGGGCTTGAAGATCTTCTGGGTGTCTGGCGGGCCCCTCGGATTATCTCGGAGGCGGCCTCGGGGATCCCTTAGGTCGTACTCTGCCTCACCAGGGAATGATGAGATGTTGCTCGACATACGGTACCAGACAGCTGACGCGGCTCACTCTTCTAATGGAGGCGACGTCCAGCACGACTTCGCGCCATAGGTATGCGTGCAGGGCAATTCCCCCCTGCTGTTTTCTGGAAAGCGCATAGGAAGGCCCCAGGAAGGCGCGCAAGGCAGCCATCTGGAGGACCAAGGGCAGCCTATGGGAGGACGCCCGAGAACTCTTAACAGCCTGGAAAACCATTCTGGGAGTCACTTCGGATGCCTTTGCGGGCGGGACGATCTTGGAGAGAGCTTGGGGTTCCTGGGGGTGGGGTATCTTCTGTTTTTGGTGGGGGTCTCCTGGTGGTCTCTTGTGACTTTTTGGGCGCGCCTCGGGGGCCTCCCCAGAGCTCTTGGCGTCTGTGCTCGAAATGTCGAATGAGGTCGGCTTGAAAAAAAACATGTGCTGATGGGTTTCCCTTCTTTTCAAGCTTGGCCTCCTACCACTAGGTGGGGCAGGATGCTGGGTGAGGGCGGCGGAGGGAGGAAGGAGTAGAGGAGAGATAAGGATGGAGAGGGGGGAGGCGACAACGCATGAGAGAGGCGGAAAGAGGATGGCGTGAAGCAAAGACGAGGAAGAGGGAGGAGGGACAATTATGCAGCGGAGAGGGCGAGGAGGGATGAGGAGAGGAAGGAGAAAGATGTGGAATGGAAAACGGAAGAGAACCAAGAACAGGAGAGAAAGAGAGAGAGAGAGAGAGAGAGCGAGAGGAGAACGGACAGCGAGGGATGGGGGTAACGGACACGCACTTTGAGGCAAGCCAAAAGCCTGAGACAGGAGGGAACGGAGGGATTTGAGGGAATCGCTTTCTTTAAAGTTGGTTATGGAGGCCCCTAAGGGCACCAAGATCGCCCCAAGAGGCCTCCAATCGTCTCCCAGCAGCTCTGGGGGAAGCCCTCGAGAGGCCAACATCATGGCAACACATAAGGAGAATCTGATGTGTATGTTCTCGCATTTCCGCCTGCTGCACGCTCCCGAGGCTTGCGCATGTACCCCAAGAGAGCTCCAAAATGCCTCCCAGATGCGTTCCGAGCAGCTCGTGGGGGTACCTCGGAGCTCTCCTGGGGAGCTCTTGAGGGCCTCTCCGGGCCCTCTTCGGCGCTGGGTGCCTCCGGGGCGGCTCCCGGGTGCTCGTTGGGGCCCGCTCGGAGCGTCTTTGGGGCCTCGGCGGTGCCCCTTCGGGCGTCATGGGGGCCTCGTTTGGCCTCTTGGGGCCACTTCGCGCAGCTCGGGACGCCTACGGGGGGCCCCTTGGAGCTCTCTTGGGGGGCTTGCGAAAGCCTCGGGGGCGTGTCGGAGGCGGAAGTGCGAGAAAACAGATAATCACTGATTTCCCGTTGGTTTTTCAATCATTTTGGCATCTCGAGGGCTTCACCGGAAATGCTGGGGGACTCTTAGAAGCCTCTTGGGGCGATCTTGAATACTCTTGGGAGCTTCCAGAGCCATCGGGGGATGAATTTCGACCGCCTTGGAGCACTTTGGGGCTCTCTCCGGGGCGTCCTGGGCCGTCTTCAAGCTCTCTCGGGGACCTCTTGGGCGCACGGAAGGGTGGTACGGGGGATTTGCCAAAAATGGTCGCGGAATGGGCGGAGCACCGAGAGGGGGGATATGTGTATATATATATATATATATATATATATAATATATATATATGTGTGTGTATATACGTATATGTATATGTATAGCTTTATCCCTCTCTCTCTAGATACATGTATAACTAGATCCAAACAACATTAAACATATACAAATACGGACATGCATACATTCAGACAGACATGCATACATACCTTCGTACATACATACCTGCACATACACACATACATACTAACATACATACACATGTGCATGCGTACATACATACATGCGGATGCAGAAACGTAACATGCATACATAGATGGATATGTACATGTAGAAAACATATGCACATGCATGCACACCTATATATGTACGTGCGTGCATTTAAGAACGTATATATATATATATATACATTTATGTATACATGATGCATGTATATACGTATGTGCATATGTGTTCATGTCTACGTAATGTACCACGATTTGTATGTGTGTAGTAGTATGCGTGTGATTGTACGTATACGCGTATGTATAGGTGTGTATATATATGTATATGTATATGTGTACGTAATTGTATGCGTGTAGGTGTGTATAGCTATATGTGTAAAACTATGCATTTGTAGATGTGCATATGTGTGCAGACGGATATGTGGATGTATGTGTGCATGCGTAATTGTATGTGTATGCTTATGATTATGTATGTGACGCTGTACATGCATCGGTATAAAAAAGTACAAGTGGGCGAGCATGCATATGTGGATGTATACGCATATGTAAACATGTGTGCATACATGAGCACTTATGCATAATGTATGGATGTAAACATACATATGTGCGTGGTTATAACTAAATGTAAATGCGTGTGTAAACGTGTGCATTATGCGTAGATATGTATATGTATATGTAGCTGTAATTATATACGTGTGTAGATGTATGTGTATATGCATGTGTAGATCTACATGTAGATGTCGAGGTATGTTCAAATGTATAGATGTACGCATATGTTTATGTGCATGTAACTGCTTATGTAGATGCATATGCGTATGCATATGTAATTGTTGATTTACATACCATACATATTGTGTGTGTCCATGACTCATATATATTTATGTGTTTACACATGCACGCCACCGTGTCAATGGGCACGGCATTGGCGTGTGTTCAAGTCGTGCACCCAATCCCTTGAATCTCAGTCCTCGCACGTAAAGTCCGAAGGGTCCTGGCCCCCCTTACCGGGGTGCTCCGCATCGATTAGCGGAGCGCCGCTCCGCCTCTACTCCTCGAAGCTTTGAGGATTCAATGAAAGGAGGTGTTGGCTTGCTCCCATTGAAAGGGGGCGTCGCTCCGCTGATTGGCTTGAAGCCACTTGCTTCCCTCAATTAGCGGAGCGCCGTTCTTCCAATCGGCGGCGAACATGGGGATTACGATCGCTTCGCTCCCATTAGCGGCGCGCCGCTCCGCTCATCGGCGCCGAACCCGACGAGACGATCGGCTTGCTCCCATTAGCGGAGCGCCGCTCTGCTATTTGGCCTCAAACCGAAGGAGTGCGATGGTCTCGCTCCCTTTAGCGGAGCGGCGCTCCAGTACTTTGCATCATGCAAGGGGATTCCGATTGCTTCGCTCCCATTAGCGGAGCGGCGCTCCGCCAATTGGCCTCGAACCAGGGGGTTACGATCGACTCGCCCCCATTAGCGAAGCGGCGTTCCGTTGAAGAGCCTCGAAACAAAGACTTACGATTACTTTGCTCTCATCTGGGAAGCGCCGTTCCGTTAATCGGCCTCGTGCTTCGCCCGCATTAGCGGAGCGTCGCTTCGCTAACGGCTTCAAACCATCAGAAGGGGCAGCTTGCTTCGCTCCCATGAGCGGCGCGCCGCTCGGCTAATTGGCCTCAAACAAAGGAATTACGATGGCTTCGCTCCCATTATCCCAGCGCTCCTCCGCTTATCGGCCTCGACCGAGGGGATTGCGATTGCTTCGCGTCCATTCTCGGAACGCCGCTCCGCAAGCGGGGCTCGGACGAAGGGATTGCCATTGTTTCGCTCCCATGCGCGGAGCGCCGCTCCGCTAACTGGCACGAACCCAGAGAATTTACACCTGCGTCCTCCCATTAGCGAGACGCTACTCCACTCATTGACATCAAACGAGAGGACTGCAATCCGCACTCCTGGGAGGTCTTTCGAGAGCCCGGAGCCCGCTTTGCCAAATCTAGCGGGACCTGTCGCGGCCTGTCGGGGGCTTCCCGCGGCTGGTCGCATGAACTTGTCGGACCCCAAGGGGGCCCCAAGACGGGCCAAGAGGCCCCCGAGGGGTCCCCCAAAAGACAATACCAGAGGCCCCAAAAGTGTCCCCAAGAGGCCCCCGAGAGCCCTTGGAAGAGACCCCTGGAGAGAGCGCATAAAAAACACGAGAAAAAGGAAGAAAGATAACAAGAGAGAAAGATAAAGAGAGAGAGAGAGGAAGAAGTTGTAAGTTTTCGGGCGGTTTCATCGGCTCTCGGCGGCTGTCCAGCCTCGGGATGCATTCCAGCAGCTGCGACTCGCGGAGCTCGTTCTGGGGATGCCCAGATCGTCCAAATTGCCGCTGAAGAGCCTAGTTGTGGTCCGAAAACAACCTGGGACGGGGATGGTCGACACGGGCCGCCCGATAGCTGCCCGGATCGTCCGAATGGCCGCTGAATAGTCTCGTTCTTGCCCGAAATCCACCTGGGACGGGGATGGTCGATATGGGCCGCCCGATAGCAGCTCGCAGAAATTTGCAATATCTACGCAACAAGCGAGGCTAAATCATCGAACAATCTGCTGTGCGTCTTCCCGGCTGCCCGTGTCCCACCAGCGTGACCAGGATGAGCGAAAGGAAATCCTGCCACTCCCATCTATCGCCCCCCGACCTGCGCCGCTTCCTCCATGCCTTCCGCCGGAACTCTCGTGGTTTCCAAAACACGGATCGCATGCCCTCCAAGTCGTCTCAGCATGTCTGCGTTCGCCGATGCCTCATCTCCCCTCTCCATGTCCCTCTCGTCTGATCCGGGGAGAGACGTGGGAATCGGGTTCTGGGGACTCGGGTTGGCCCGACGGGGCCGCCAGGAAAATGACGAGACCCAGTCTGAAAAATCTCACGCGACCTCCCGCTGCAGACATCCTGTAGATGGAGCAGCAGAAAAGAGGAACCCTTGACACCACGCCCCCCTCCCCCCCAATTTCGAAGTTGGCCTCAAGCATTCGGCAGCACAGGCGCGAGAGGACAAAACAAGTGGACCCCCCAGGGCCTCCAGGAGGCCGAAGCCAACTTTGAAGCCGGGGGCAGCGGGTGGGGGTTCCAATGTGTTGTCCCCTTACCGTCCCACTGCAGACATCCCACGAAGACTGGACCGCCACAGAGCGTCGGCTCACCTGAGGCTTTGACGAACGACCTCGGCTGCCGCGGCCCCTCTCCTTCCCGAGCCACCCCGCCACATCGCCGATAGATCGGCGATAGGCCCCCAATGGTGAATCGGCACCTTCATGCGCAGGTTGGGGCTATCGGGCTCGAACAAGAAACCCTCGCAAAAAACACAATCTTGAAAACCCGCGACCGAGGTGCACCCAAGGGGAAGCCTGGAGCACCCTGCACGCAGCAGCTTCGTCAACGGCCACGGGAAGTCGCCGCGCAGCGCGCGGAGCGAAGAGACCCAGGCTACCCTGACGAAAAGCATCTGGATTCTCGATGTGCGCCCCCACTGTACGTGTTTTTCGCTCAAGCCGCTCACTGTGAACCCCCCTAAAAAGCTCCAGGAGGGCCCCAGGAGGCGAGACCCCGAGAGGCCCCCACAACCCAGGCACGGCGGCGGAATGCCGGGGGCGCGCAAACATGGATTAGGATTAGCGATCAATAGATGTGGCGCGCGGTCGCGAAATCCATGGATCGCATCTGGATTCTCGATGCGCGCCTCCACTGTTCGTGTGAATCCTTCTTGCGCTCCCAACACTTGTGCCCCGAGTCCGGTGGGGGCCGGGCGCTGCCGACCAGCGGCGGCCCCCTGGGAGCAGGAGGAGAAAAAGGAACAGGAGGAGGAGGAGGAAGACGGGGAGGAGGTTCTTTTTAACTCTGCATCGTGCCCTGGGGGTGCCAACAGGGAAAGCCAGTTTCGTCTGGCACTGAAGGACCTGGGCGGTGGCCAGCGCTATGGACGGCGACCCCAGGACCAGTCAGTCAGAGTCACTAGACTCTGAATCCCTTGCGCGAGCCGCCTGCACAAGTGGAGCCACATCTTCCTCGGGAAGAGGCTCCTGCACTGCTCGCAGCTGCCCGCGCCGGTTCCGATCCAACTCATTGGCGGGAGAGGGCCTGGCAAGAGGGTCGAGACGAAACCGAGTGGCCTCCTCCTCTCCTTCAAAAAGGGCCCGAAAAAAACAACACCCCTCCCCCCCAAGACTGGCCCTGACGAAGGCACAAGTGGCCTCGGGACCATGGGGGAGGAACTCCGAACAGGAAGCGGATCAGGCCCAGCCATTGGATCGGGACGGTCCACCCCGCCCAACAACGACGACGGCTCGACGACAGGAACACACTGCTGGCCTTCCGCATCCTGCTCAAAATCATCTGGATTAAACACTTGACAAGTGACCCCTGAGTTTCTGGGGTGGAGTCCACGGCCGAGCGGTATCTTCTCAGCAGCCGCGTATTTACTCAGGCACCCTCTAATCACCGGCAAACATTGGGCCCGAAACTTCTTGAACTGACAACCACGCGTGTACCCGAAGCACTGCGCGCACATATACAAGATGGTGTCGTCAAAGCACTTTAGGCAGATCACTATGTGGCCCCGCTCCTGAAAACCGACGGCAACCTGGGGCAATCTACCAAAACAGTTTCCTGCAGGCGGACGCGCCTGCTGACGCTTGAACTGTAAACAAACCTGGCAGCGCCAAAAGGGTCGACACCAGTGCCACTGGTGGGCAACTGAATTAGCAGCCTCCTTAGCAGCTGACTCAGGTGTACGGACCCAGGGAACATCCGTTAGGTCCAACTTCGGCCACACAGGTATTAAAGAATGCGCGAGCTTACATACCTTGCGAGCTGTACACGTGAGGCGCTCTACTTCCTGTAGCTCGGCAGGAGTGGGTTGAGGGTGGGAAGCAGCTCCTTGCTTGGCCGCCTGGTCGGCAGCATCATTCCCTCTCTTACAGAACAGTTCGTAGTCTGCGAGGTCGTCGCTGTCCTTGACATGCGCACGAACCTTCTCCACTCTAGAACAGATAGAGTGTTTCTTGAGGGACGTGCCAGCGCACGGTCGCCCATAATGAATTTGGCGCGCTAGCGGCCGGGCAAACTGCTCGGCTACATCGCTGCAGTCGCTGCGGCCCACTGATGGGCCGATCAAAAACTCATTTGAGGCACCGCGAGCGCCGAACTCCCCGGCTTGGGGCGCCCAGGGAAGCTCGGCCCAGATTGGGCCCCAAATGGAACAGACATGTTCTAAATCGCCCCTGGAAACCGCCACCCCCCCAACCAGGCCTGTTTCATTCATCCATCTCACTCCTGGCATGGGACTCGTCAAAAAATACAGGCCCAGAAATCTCAGCACTGGTAAAGTCCGAACCAACCAACCCAAGAGACTGAAATGGGCGACTCCTCAGCTGGCAGCGGTAGCTGAACACTTGGGCACGGGAAGCAAGCCTTGGTGCAGAGCTGGAAGTCGGCCTGATCAGGCCGAGCCTCAAGGGCTTGCTGGACAAACCGACGATCACGATCTCCACTCTTAGATCCTCGACCACGGGACATTGCTGCAACCGAGGCTGGATCGCGTCGAGCGCACCTCGGCAAAGGGCGCGCTGCAGATCATCGCCCTCTAGGGCGCAGCCTGCCACTTGCGCTCCGGCCTTCGTCCGCAGCCCGTCGCAAGCGAAGCGCTCGGGGGAACCTCTCTGCAGCGAAGTGAGCTTGCGGGGCCTGAGCCGCGCCTCGACGACATCGAAACACGACCGCCCTTCGAAACCCAGCTTTTGCCCCGAAGACCTCTCCAAGGATCTCAGAACCCCGACATGCAAATGCCTCTTGATGATTTGTTTTGTGGGGGGGGGCAAGACTGATTGCCACTCCAGCGTCCGAGACCAGGGTCGCGCAATCTGACATGACCACCCAATCCTTTCCAAAGACAGACGCGCAGCTGACAGAGGCCCCGAGCAACTGCGCCACGTAGCACTGCCTAAAGAAAACGCTGGGGGCCACGCCTCCCTGAGATGGCCAAAGAGAATCGCAAACTCGAATTCTCGCAGCTGGTTGGACCAAACATCTGCGACGCACCTGACCACGAGAAAAACTGGTGGGAACCAACAGGAATCTGAAAGGCGAATTTTCCGACCTCGCTTTCGTTCCCAAGGAAAACCAAGTCATGTCATGTGCCTCGTCGCCATGGGGCGCGCGGTGCGCAATCAAATGTCGGTCCTGCCCTCGCCTCCCCCCACCAGCCCATCCCCGCAATTGCCGCCAGAATCGCATCCAACCTCCGCCACCCCGCCCAAACGCTCCGAAAATTTAGCGGTCGCCCGACAAAGAAGGAAAACACATTGGTACAAAACCAGGAAAACTTGGCATGGGCAACTTGGAATAACACCGGGGAAGCTTGGTATGATACCGGGAAAACTTGGCACGATACCGGAAAAATGGCACTGTACCAAAGGCGTTTGGTATTATACAAAACTCAACGAAACACTGTGTTTTTACACGCGCGAGCGACTCCGAATGACACTTCGCACTATACCGGAAAAACTTGGTATACTACTGGAAAATCTTGGTATTATACCAGGAAAAATTGGTATAATACCAGACCGCCTTGGCGCCGTGCTAGATCGACCTGCCGCGCCGCCGCCCCCGCGCGCGGCGGCGCCATGCGCTGGGCCCGCCGCGCCGAGAATGCCCAGCTCACCTACGCATTCAGGCAAGGCTCGCTAGCAAACTTCGCTTGTAGGCAGGCGAAGCCGTCGAACGAATCGATCGCAGGCCGTTCGAAGTGGTCGCAGCCGACTTCCCCGAGGGCAGTTTGGTATGATTAGGTTCCGGTTTGGAAGCGAGGGTGGTCAAATGCGAGGTAGGTTGTTTTGTCTCTGAGAATCAGCTTCGAGAATGGCGAGGGCAGTCAAGGACCTCGATCCCGAACTCGGTCTGGCCACCTTCCCAAAAGCACTCCTCGTATTCTCCAACTCATAATCGGAAACTCCGTGAACTTCACTGCCGTACGTAGCAGCCGGTAAACCACCAGAACAGAACATCTTCTTCGCATGCCTTCCCAAAACAGCCCTGGCGTTGGCGATTCTCTTGGCCCGAGTCTTAAGAACCTTCTTCCTCTGCTGGCGCTTTTGGGGCCGTCTGGGAAGCCTGCGGGGGCGACCAACTGCGTCGTCGATGCCTAAGTTGGCCGCCGTGGAGACCGAGCTGCCGCTCGGGCCCCCGAAGAAGTTGCGCGGCTCCATGCCGAGCTTGGCGGGCGAGGAGATGAGCGAGGCCTTGTCTTGCGGAAAAGCCGCGCAGCTCGGCCCCGGCGACGTCTGCGAGCGCCGCTGCAGACTCCTTGATGTGGCCCGAAACATACCTCTCAGGACCTACAGCAGACAGACCGCAATCATCCATGTATTTAGATAAATAGCTGTTTTTGCCCAACCAGCAAATCCAAGGCAGGGATCACACATATCCCCACACAAGTTGTTGCAATAGAGCAGCCAGCTATAACTCCCAAGGAAGCGTAGCGCGGCCCATCCACCAGGCCGGAAAACGAAACACATCTTGGACCCCGATACGCTTCAACCGCCGGCCGCATGAGACACCAAAGGAAGTGTAACATGTCAGCCCGAGCTGGGGGCGCATCTAAGGGAATACGTTCATCG